TTGAGATATCAGTGGAAGAATTAATACTTCATAATCCTGAAAGCCAAATTTAGGGTTTGAAATAGCACAGCCCACTATCTTGCCTGTTAAGATAATGATTATATCCAAAGTAACCTCCGTATTAGATTCACTTATGAGGTAAGTAGGGTAGAAAACACGTTGGTGAAAAAGGTAAGCACACCAGAGCTGGTAATGTAAAGTTAAGAACAAATAACACAGTATAAAGACAACATCACTTCTAGGCCATACAAAGAAAGACCCATGAGGAGGAAGAGATTCCCCTAAGGAATGGTAATAACAAGGCCCATGAAGAATATTCATGGAATTTGTATGAATATTCTGCAAATCATGCACGTAAGACACAGATCACAAGAGACTTTTCAGTGCTGACTCAAATACAGCTGTATTATTTTTATTATATACACTGTAAATCAAATAACTCTGAATGGTTGTTTTATTGTATACATCTTTCTGTTTGAAAGTCTTTGTGTATGTATACTGTAGAGCAGGGGTCAGCATGCTATGGCCCCTGGGCCAAATCCAACCTACTACCTGTTTTTGTAAATCAAGTTTTACCAGAACACAATCATGCTCATTTGTATCCATATTGTCTATGGACGTTTTCATGCTACAGCAGCAGAGTTGAATAGAGAGACTACCTAGCCCTTTACAAAAGAAGTTTGCCAACCCGTGCCATAGAGTGTCCCTTAATGGAACAGCTGGCAAAACCTACACCTAGCAGAACGAATGAAATGTTCATTCATAGTAATTTACTAAATTAATTAAAGACTATTCGTAATAAAATGAGCTAAGTTGCCAAGTCGGAATACTGTATTATGATGTGGTGTAAAGGAAAGAACACCGAGTGATCGGAACCAATGATGAAGCAGTAACAACAAAAAGTATGTATGACCTCCCGCCTCAGCCTCCCAAGTACCTGGGGCTACATGGGACTACAGCCATGCACCACCACACCCAGCTAATTTTTATTTTTCGGCAGAGATGAGGTCTCGCTACGTTGCCCAGACTGATCTCAAACTCCTGTGCTCAAGCTCAAGCGATCCTCCCACCTCAGCCTCCCAAAGTGTTGGGATTACAGGCACGAGCCACCACATCCGACCTCCATCTCTACTCTTTTGAGTCTATGTGACTTTATTCATTGTATGAGTCAGGCAGCTACTCTGAATGGAAGGAAAAGAATTATTATTTCGCAGGAAAGAACAAATATGGTTACCCTTATATACAAAGGGTCAGAGCATAGAGGTATTGAGAGCAGATGAAAAAACAAAGACATTTCAGAGCACAAAAGATAACAGAATAATGACAGGTCATTGCTGTACATACTTACTTAGCTGTGAGCGCCAGAGTAGAGTGAATCAAAGGAAAGTAAAGGAGGGGTACCCATTCAATACTGCTTCTTGGGTCTAGCTAGTTTTAATGGTGCTAATGTACACAGTGAAAGCTAATAAACTTGGTTCTGAAATCAGAAATTTCTCTAAAGAAAATAATCAAAGAAGTACACTAAAATTAATATTTAAAATGAATATTTAGATAATAATAAATTTTAAAACCTGTAGGCCGGACACAGTGGCTCACGCCCGTAATCCCACCACTTTAGGTGGCCGAGGTGGGCAAATCACGAAGTCAGGAGTTCAAGAATAGCCTGGCAAACATGGTGAAACCCCATCTCTACTAAAAATACAAAAAATTAGCTGAGTGTAATGACGGGTGCCTGTAGTCCCAGCTACTCAGGAGGCTGAAGCAGAATTGCTTGAACCCCGGAGGCAGAGGTTGCAGTGAGCCAAGATTGTGCCACTGCACTCCAGCTCAGGCAACTGAGTGAGACTCCATCTCAAAAAAAAAAAAAAAAAGTTTGTGTAAAGAGAAAAATGGCTGAATAAAATAAGACTAAAAATAGCACATGACTGCATTCTGGGATTATGAGTAATTTTTATTTTCCTCTTAATACTACTTTTTGGTGGTTTCCAATTTTTAAACTTTTTTTTGTTGTTGGTGATTTTGAGACAGAGTTTCCCTCTGTCACCCAGGCTGGAGTGCAATGGCACGATCTCAGCTCACTGTAACCTCCACCTTCTGGGCTCAAGTGATTCTCCTGCTTCAGCCTCCCGAGTAGCTGCAATTACAGGCATGAGCCACCCTGTCCCACTAATTTTTGTATTTTTAGTAGAGACGGGGTTTCATCATGTTGGCCAGGCTGCTTTCAAACTCCTGACCTCCTGCCTCGCCTCCCAAAGTGCTAGGATTACAGGCATGAGCCACCACGCCTGGCCAACAATAAACTCTTTACATGCATAAACATAATAAATACGTTAAAAAAGAAGAGAAACCTACTGTGTGTACCCCATGCCCTAGATAAATGCCATACAGCTACAACAAAAAGACTTTAAGTTGGGGATAACCGAGCTGCCTGGGCTATCAAAAGATTTTAAGTTGGGGAGTGTAATGCAGTCTTGAAGGCTAGCCTACCAAAGAAAAGAGAAAGGGAATTAGAAACAGGACATGCCTATGACAAAGAGGAAGATGGACAAAGTGATCATGGAAGAACAGAAAGAAGAGTAAAAGGAGGGTTCAGATAAAAAATCTTGCTTATTCAACAGGATTAAGAAAGGAGACCAGAGCTGGGCACGGTGGCTTATACCTGTAATCCCAGGACTTTGGGAGGCAAAGGCAGGTGGATTGCCTGAGTCCAGAAGTTTGCGACCAGCCTGGGCAACATGGGAAAACCCCACCTCTACAAAAAATACAAAAAATTAGCTGGGCATGGTGGCGCACGCTTGTAGTCCCAACCACTCGGGAAGCTGAAGTGAGAGGATCACCTGAGCACAGGAAGTTGAGGCTGCAATGAGCAGTGAATGTATCATTGCACTCCAGCCTGAGTCACTGTCTCACAAAAAAAAAAAAAAAAAAAAAAGAGAGAGACCAAAAATTGCTCCATAAAATGGAATGCTTTCTAGGGACTATATAAGGCACTTGGCTTTGGCCTTCCTCATCTTGGTGAATGTCTCTTTCCAGTTACCAAGACTTCCAGTGCCTAGTTTAGGAATGCTTTGCCATGGATCAGGAGAGAAATGAAAACCCCATCATCCTTGGCCTGTCCCGAGAAGAAAACTGACCTTTGTACTCAGAATGGAGGCTCTGGGAGCTTAGGGTGGGGCTGACACACTATGCATAACCATTTTCACTTGTGAACCACTTCAATGCTACACATAGCCCCATAAGAGGCAAGCCTGTTAAAGGGGAGTGCAATCAAGAAGGCCTTCTACTCTTTGAAATTCTCCAAGTGCCATACATTTGGCTGTCTTAAAACAATGAGCCATCCTTGCTTTTACAGGGCCCTTTTATGGCTCATTTCTCTGTGGGAGGCCACCGTGTCTGCCATATTATAAGACCCTGCTATAGAAACAATAGGCATGGTGGTGCATCCTGTAGTCCTAGCTACTTGGGAGGCTGAGGAGGGAGGATTATTTGAGTCTGGGGGGTTGAGGCTGCAGTGAGCTGTGATCGCACCATTGCACTCCAATCTGGGAGATACAGCGAGACCCTGTCTCAAAAACAAGAAACAAAAAAAGACAAAAAAACCCAACTCCTTCTTCTCAACAATTTCTCCTTATCTGAGGCCAGCCACATACCCACTTTCTAAGAACTTTCTTGCTGTCTTAATCTTTTCAAGGCAGGTGACAGCTTTATATAGTAAATAGGTCTTCACACTCAGAGAGACTAGGTCAGGAGCCACTTTTTTTTTTTTTTTTTTGCTTCTTTTAACAGCTAGTGACTTTGAGATGATGGGGTTTCTGGGAGGGATTGGGAACCTTTAAGAATTCTGTTAACTTTTAGAACTTTAATACCTGATGGGATCAGATAAATAGTTGTAGGTAGAAGAATTCCCAGAGTAGGTATATTAGTGTCAGGTGCAGGATAAACTATGATGCCCTTCCAGTAAGAGGACATCTGGATGTTTCTTTTTTTTTTGAGACGGAGTCTTGCTCTGTCACCAGGCTGGAGTACAGTGGTGCGATCTCAGCTCTCTGCAACCTCCGTCTCCCAGGTTCACATGATTCTCCTGCCTCAGCCTCCCATAGCTGGGACTACAGGTGCCTGCTACCACGCCCGGCTAATTTTTGTAGTATTAGTACAGATGAGGTTTCACCATGTTGGCCAGGATGGTCTTGATCTCTTGACCTCATGATTCACCCGCCTTGGCCTCCCCAAATGCTGGGATTACAGGCGTGAACACCATCATGCCCAGCTACTTTTTAATTTTTTTGTAGAGACAGGGTCTTGCTATGTTACCCAGGCTGGTCTCAAACTCCTGGGCTCACGCAATCCTCCCACCTCGGCCTCCCAAAGTGCTGGGATAATGTAGGAGCCACCACACCTGAGAAGAAGGGTTTTAAGCCAGAAGAGTATTATCAATTAACTTCTAAGTTGTTAAGTGGGATTATAGAAGGGATGATCATTGATATGTACATCAACCATGATACGCCAGGGCAGAGGGAAGAAGGGTATGTAGGGATAGGTGAGCAGAACTGGATTCTGATTCCCGGTTCCAGTGAGCATTTCACTTTGTACCCATCAACTAAGTCTTTCCTAAAGAATTCAAGGACTTTTTTCCCCAGTTCAGGTATTACACTTTGCTATTCTATGCTTACTAAAGGCCAAATTCCAAGATTTAAAAAGGGGAAAAAAAAACAAACTTCAAGACCACTTAAATAGAAAACGCAAGGGGTGGGCATGAGGGCTCATGCCTATAATCCTAACACTTTGGGAGGCGGAGGTGGGAGAATTGCTTAAGCCCAGGAGTTCAAGACCAGCCTGGGCAACATAGTGAGTGAGATGCTCTCTCTTTTAAAAAAATTTAAAAAAAAAAGATAGAGAAAGAAAAGAAAATGCAAACATGAATTATGTTCTTAAGTCCCAGTTCTGCCACTGATTACAATGTAACCTAAAGTTACTTAAACTTTCCAAGACTCATCTTTGAGATGGAGGTAGTAATAACACAAAACTAACTCTTCCAGTTTTCTGTAAAAATTCAATGAGACAGGGTACATAAAGCACACAGTAGGTGCTCAATGAATGGCATCAAATTATTAAAAAGCTAAATGTCATGTATTTCCTCAATAGAGAACTACAGAAAATTAATCTTCTAAAGGGGCTTATTCCCCAGAAAGGTCAAGACATCTGCAGAAATATGCAAAAAAGCCAGGGAGGGTAAGTATACTAAAATAAGGATAAAGTCTTAATTAGAAAACATAAGTTGTAACTTTTTGGATACTCATGAATGGCTCAAGTTTAAAAGTCACCCCTGAAAAGAAGGAAAAAATGGGGGAACCATACATATAGGATAAATGAGTTGACTACGATGAGGCATATAAAACATAGTTCCTTCTGTATATGTAGCCCAATTTGTGAATGTGCTTTCTAGGTGAGCTTAATTTGAGTGGGAAGAAATTCAGAAGCAAGCTGATTACTATGAGATTCCATATGTTCTAGGATCAACTGTAAATGCAAGTCCCATTGAAAGGAAAATGGGGAGAGGAGGATTTGTAGACATATTACATTTATTTAATCTATGCCACGAATTGGCAAACTTTCTGTGAAGGGCCAGACAGTAATATTTCAAACTCCATGGTCCATATGGTTTCTCTCCCAACTACTCATCTCTGCTGTAGCATGAAAGCTGCCATCGACAATAATGAATGAACACAACTGTGTTTCAACAAAATATTTACAAAAGCAAGAGCCTATGCCACCTATATTTCAGTTCTTCTGATCTTCTGCAGGAGTGATCACAGACTGGGTAAGCATATAATCTACATGAATTGTTTTAAGAAGGATATATTATAGAATAAGTTGCAGGCTTTGAAAGTGCTGGCCTGTCACTTATGCTCTGGAAATGGCAGTTCTAAGAGCCTCCCTGACAAGAATTAGGGCAAAGTAAGCCTCTCTTCCCCTACTTACCTTCATCACTATGTTACCTTAATCACTGACAGGACCCTCCTTCTTTTGCTGCATGGTCATTCACATGGAGGATCTGGTGGACTCTAAAATACTTTTCAAATATCCTTCACAATCCAGCCTAGTGAGAAGTAACAAAAAGAAAAAAGACTGTTTGCATCATCTATGACCTTCCTGACACTCAGCTTGGTCAGCCTCCATTGCATTGAGCAACTGTGGCAGGTATTAAAAGGGAGAATGGGAAGAAGGGAGAAAAACACAAGATGTTGCTTAGTTTAACCTAATCATTTTTAAGTGCAATTTTTTACATCATAATGGGAAAAAACAATTGATATAACACTTATGATACATTATACATTTACTGGTTACTTATCCCTTTGTCTAACTTCACAAGAATGAAAGTTCCATGGCAAGACTTTGTTAATATCTGCAACAGTCTCTGGCATTTAGTAAGTACTTAATAAAGCTAGAAAGTTAGAAAGGGCGAGATCATAACCTATTTCCCTTCTCTTTTCTACCACCAACTGGGGAGCCCCAAGCCACTGGCAACTTACCAAGGCTTCCCAACTGCCTCACAAGGACATCCATGGCAACCGTAATTCATCCTCTTCCTCTGATGAACTTGCTGGGCAGGAAGTATCAGTATGAGTAACAGGGAGATCTTAATGTTGCTCTTGACCAATGAGAAGTTTTCTGGCCATCCAGGAATCTGCATGTTTAACAAGCACCCCAGGTGATTTTATGCATAATAAAACTTCACACCATGGACATTTCCAACATCAGAGGAGTAAAATCTCAGGAGCTATTACAGAAATCTTTTAGTGTGAAATGAGTCCAAGGTGTGTGGATCACTTGAGCCCAGGAGTTCAAGACCAGCCTGGGCAACATAGTGAGACCCCATCTCTATTTAAAAAAAAAAGAAAAGAAAAAAAATCTTTTACTGTGAAATAAAAACATTTCTGTCTCACATGGCTTCCTTGGATTTGATAGAACCTAGATGAAGCACTGAGTAGAAGACACAGTACTGACTTGGACTCAAATCCATTTTCTATGCCAACTAGCTATAATCTTGGGCAATTTGTGCCATCTACTGTGGCCTCATATAATCTTGGGCAATTTCTAATTCCCCCATCTGTAAAAATGGGACGATAGGGAAAAAAGAGGTTAGATTCTTTATTCTGTAGCACAGCCTGAATATTTTAAGACTTTTTTTCATATCATAATGTGAAAATATCCAGTAATTGCTTAGTGCCTATTAAGCACCCTTACCCTACCCCATCCCACTAACTGAGCAAGCCCACCAAAGCCACTGGCCACTTACCAAGACTTCACAATGGTTTGATAACTAGGTGCAGGATGCTGGTTTGAGCCTCTCCCAATTCTCTGATAACCTCACTGGAGGTTAACCAGGCAGGGCTCAATATACCTCTTCACCAGTGGCATAGTTTCTGATTGCATGTGGCATCACCTATAGGACAGGGAGAAGAAAGAAACAAACATAAGATGGAACAGTCAAGGTTTGAGATCTAGCTTTAATTTTATTTTTACCACCTTAGTCAAGTTATCCAGCCAGTCACACCATGGATCTCAGATTTTACTCTTGCTAAGCATTCACACTTAGCATCACAATTATATTATCTGGCAAAGGCAGTTGCAAGGTCTACGATTATTAGTAAGGATTCCTGCCTTTATTTTAAATGAGAGAACTGGGTACAGAGGTACCAATGACTACACCAAAGTGTTAGTACTCAGATGTGAACTCTAATGCTTATCTTCGTAGTTTCCTTCAAGTTCTTCCCCTCTTTAGACTTCAATATCGCCGTGAATAAGGGGGTAAACTTGACCCCTTAGTGGCCCTTCTGTGTCTGGCAGTTAATGAACCTACATTCTTTAGTCCTGACCAAAACAGCCTGCAAAAGGTGAATGAAACCTTCATCTAGTCATCAGATGGCATCTGGTTTTCACACTGATAGGAAAAGGTTACAAAACTCTGGGCTCTTGGACCAAGACCCTATCATTTACAATCTCAACTCCCACCACCACTCACCTTACCTTAAGTGAAAAGGAATTGAACATTATCTGCTCCCTTACCCAGCTGTCTGGGTTATCAATAGGACCACAAAAAGCTAGGCAGACCAGTGGCTATGCCCCTACCTCCAAGAATCAACCACTGGAGTAACGGGCTCTGAGTCATGAGACACAAGCCAAAGACCATCAAGGAGTCCTTTCATTCTTTCTTTTTTTTTGAAACAGAGTCTTGCTCTGTCGCCCAGGCTAGAGTGCAGTGGTGTGATCTCGGTCACTGCAACCTCTGCCTCCTGGGTTCAAGCACTGCAACCTCAGTCTCCCAGGTTCAAGTGATTCTCCTGCCTCAGCCTGCCGAGTAGCTGGGATTACAGGCGCCCGCCACCGCGCCTGGCTAATTTTTGTGTTTTTAGTAGATGGGGTTTTACCATCTTGGCCAGGCCGGTCTCAAACTCCTGACCTCAGGTGATCCACCCACCTCAGCTTCCCAAAGTGCTGGGATTACAGGCGTGAGCCACCCTGCCTGGCCAAGGGGTCCTTTCTAAGGAGCAGCCTATTGCCTGTAAGTTTCTCAGTCCCTAGCTGCTTAGCATGAAAAATAACCCAGAAATCTGGCAATTCAGCAATGGCCCAAAGCCCAGGTTACTGTTATCATTATATGCTGGCAGCACAAGTCAATACTGCTAAGTTTCCTGTTACTCAGTGAGATGCGGGCAACCCTCAACTCAAACCCCTGGAAGACCCAAGGAGCAGTTACCCAGGACTCATTTTTAACTGTTTTACCTACCACCAGCCAGAAAGAATCTGTCCTCTAATCTACTAGTAACCATGAGACCAAGGCAGAAAGTTCTCCCACCATAGATAGGGAAGACTGGTGCTGCCTAGCTGAGAGGAGAGGGGAAGCAGGAGCCTTGATAGGTTTGAGCCATCTCTTTATTGGAGCAACTAAGGCTACCATTTACTAGAGCAAGACTTGCATATTCATAAGTAGCTGCTGCCACTAGCAATTATTGTAGCTTTAAAGCCCAGAGGGGCAAGGGTAGAAAAGGAATGTGTAGAGGGCCTAATTGGGAAATAAATGGTAGGTGTAAACACTGATCCAGAAAATGCCTGCACTAAGGAGCCAGGAATCCAAGGGTAGGTGGTAGTTAGTGCCTTCCTCTGAAGACAGCGATCTTATTTCCACCATTCCCTTCCCCCACCCCACCCAGCTCTTTTCCGAACTAAATTTCTCCAGTTTCCAGAACCCCTCACCACCCCCACTTATTCCACTTCTGTTCAAGTCAACAGTTTCAAAATGGAAATAGTTTCAATGTGTCTCTAGCTTTGATAGTCATAGATGAACACTGCAAAAAAAAAAAAAAAAAATCCGGAACTATATTAGGCAAAGAATGTAAAAATCAGCCAGAGGCCGGGCGCAGTGGCTCACGCCTGTAATCCCAGCAGTTTGGGGGGCGGAAGCCGGCGGATCACGAGGTCAGGAGATCGAGACCATCCTGGCCAACATGGTGAAACCTCGTCTCTACTAAAAATACAAAAATTAGCTGGACGTGGTGGCGCATGCCTGTAATCCCACTCGGGAGGCTGAGGCAAGAGAATCGCTTGAACCCGGCAGTCAGAGGTTGCAGTGAGCTGGCATGAGCCAGCAATGCATGCCACTTGCACTCAGCCCGGCAACAGAGGCGGAGACTCCATCTCAAAAAAAAAAAACACAAAAAACATCAGCCAGAACATCAAAAAGTTAACACCTTGGGGTTCGGTATCGTCTTCCAACAACTGTTCATAACAGCTGCACAAACATAGAATTCTTATTTTACAATGATTTACGACTGCAACTATACTGTTTTCGTCTTTAGCCCTTTTTCCATTAATATGCTCTATACTGCCTCTCTAAGTCAACCTATCTTAGCTTCAAGGATCTATTTTTTTTTTTATTTTCTTTTAAGATGGCTATGTCTGTGGCCCATTAATGAAATCACACCCAAAATGGTATTTAGACCAAGTTCCTATTCATGACTTAGGTAAGTTTTTCCATTATTTTACTGTTATAAAGCACCGTGAATACTGCCCATAATCCTAAAATCCTTCTTTTTTAATAATGGTTTAAACCATATATTTGGGGGTATATCCCCCTATAAATGAATACAAACCTTACAGTGTAAGAGATGTGCAAAGATCAGTAAAAACAGTGCTCTACCCTTGGGTTTAAATCAAAGGAAGACCAGACACAAACAGGTAACTTGAGCCATTATCATGTCCATGGATAACAGAACAAACCAAAATTTCATGGTGCTTCCTAACTGACAACTGCAGCTGTTGCTAACAAAAAGGCTCAAAGACATGACTATTAGAGCAGTAAGCCCAAACTAAAAATCCATTTGCTAGAATCTCCGAA